GATCGAACTGGCGCTGCAGAGGCTGCAGGCAGCTTCACAACCCAGCGCTCAACCGCTGCGCCACTGGGGAGGCCCGGCTTCTTTGGATTCTGAAGGTAACACATTCCATATTCTTTTTTTTTTTTTTTAAATAGTAAAGCTTTTTTTTTTTTTTTAAGATTTATTTATTTATTTATAAATACAAGCACTGGGTAGAGTAAGAAGCACGGGAGGGTGAGAGAATTCACCAGAGCCAGAGCAGGGAGCAGAACAGGCAGACTGACGAAGTACACTGCTGAGGGGAGCAGCGGGCAGCAGGAGAGGTCTGCGCGCCATGTGGGACCCTTGCCTGGCGGCCGGGGATGGAACTGGCGCTGCAGAGCCTGTGGGCAGCTTCGCAACCCAGTGTTCAACCGCTGCGCCACCGGAGAGGCCCACATATACCATATGCTAAGAATACTGTTTTGACCCTTATACCAGATAGAATGCAATGTTTTGGTGGAGGGCAGGGGGAGGGCAGTTTCAAATGGGAAAAAACTTTGCAACAATTCCAAACCACAATGCAAGGAGCTCTACTTCTTGGGCCATGGAACCAGTAGACGTCATGATATTGGAAATGTCAATGGTGGGGAAAGATGCAATATGGGACTTACAGTAAGCCCCCGTAAGAAATTACAACAGTGACTCATGCGACTCTGGAGGAAGGAAAGAATTGTGTGACTTTTGAGAAATAACTCCTGGCGTGTTACTGGGTCCTGAATAAAACAGAGCTCTTACTATGGGATGTAAAGATACCAGATATCCAAACACCCCCCATTATTAGATAAATCTTATCAGCCACACTAAGTCATAAAGTTGAACAGACCTAGCAGAAACCCCTTTATAAAACAGAAACTGCATTTAGAAGTTAGCATCTGAGTAGGTCCACAGGGCATGAGTAAGCTGCAAGAGCCCAATGTCACCTAATAGGATTTTACCAACACCCCTTCCCATACTTGCCTGTGTGGAATATGTACAGAGTGTGGTTCTGTACGACCAGCTGAAAAAGGGGACCAGAGGTTAGCGTACATATGGATTGACACAAGCTAGGAGTGAAAATGGAAAATGGATGACAACTACATCATAGCCATATTCAAGGGTGCCCATGAAAGACATTTAAAAGGGAAAATCCAATAGAACTAATAAAAGTTGTACACCAAGTCATCTACTTTGTGTGAAAAGAAAAGTGCCAGAGTAAGTACATAAACATACTACCATCCTCGTCCAAGTCAACATCATCTTTCTCATGAACTCTTTCAATAATTTCCTAGCTGATCTCCCTACATCAACCTTTGACCTTTCAGCATTTTTTCAACATAGCTGTTTGAGCGAAGCGGTTACAACACTGAACTCCTTAGCTCAAAATACACCAATGTCTTTCACAACATTTGGAGTAAAAGTGAAAATTATTACAGTGGCCCACAGGTCCTACACGATTTGATTTTAACTTCCTGTCTGATCTTATATTCTAGTACTGGAATCTTTACTAATTCACTCCATCTACACCAAACATGTGTAATCACAGGACCTTTCTATTAATTACTTCTTTTGTCCAGAATGCTGACAACATGGAGCTGACAAACCTTCATGCACATATTTTAAAACTTCACTCTTTAATATAATTAACATCATTCCTCTGATTGATTTTTTCTAACATTTCATCTGTGAAAATGACAGGTTCACTTAAGGCACAATGTTAATGACAATATGAAGAAGCCACAGTTAAAAGAGTAACAACAGAAGTGGAGCTTAAAAGCATCTGATGTTCCCCATTAGAAAAGGCACTGAGAATGAGGCATTAGACATTATAAATTAATTAAAATAAGAAAAAGTATATGTTTCTGTATTCTTATTAAGGTATAATTTACATACAATAATACTGTGTTTGATACAGTGTTTGATTCAACTAGTTTTAACAATTATGTACATTCATGTAACAACAGATAAAACAAGACAAAGAACATTTTCAGCACAGAAAATTTTCTAATAGTTTATTCTAGCAATCATTGTTTTGATTTCTACCTACATAGATTTATTTTGCCTGCTCCGTGATATCCCAGAGTAGATCTTATTTTCATGTCTGGATTATTTTGGTGAACATAACTTTTAACATTCATCCACCTATTATTTCACTAATATTTTACTTTTTATTGCCAACTAATATACCATCCTATTCTTATGCTGCCAGCAATTCATTTATTCATTCGCCATATGATAAGCAGTAGTGCTATTTCAGTTTTAGACCACTGTATAATGTTGCTATGCATAATCTTGTCCATTTCTTTCTGTAGCCATATGTTTTCTTAGATAAATACTATGAGTAGAATTTGGGTTTTATGGTCAAACTTCAATAAGAGATTTATAAAGTGGTTGTACCATTTCAAATTCTTTTTTAAAAAGATTTATTTATGCATACAAGAACTGGGGTACAGGTCAGAAGTACAGGAAGTGAAAGGATTCACCAGAGATAGAGTGGGGAACAGAACAGGCAGACTGACTGAAATACACTGCTGAGGGGAGCAGTGGGTGAATCAGGAGAGGTCTGCTGCGCCATGTGGGACACCCCCCTAGGTGGGGACCAAACTCGTGCTCCAGTGGTTGTGGACTGCTTCATAGTGCTGAGACTTAACACCTTGTGCCACCAGGGTGACTTCCATTTTAAATTTTAACAACACATCACAGTTATAGTAGCTCTACAGCTTGTCCACTATCTGGTACTGTTGGTCTTTTTAATTTTAATAATTTTGGTGAGTATGAAACAATATCTAGCTGTGGTTTTAGTTTTGCATATACTTGATAACTAATGATTTTGAGCTGGAGGTGTTTTTGGCCACTCTTGTATGTTTTATTATATCTTCTGTGTAAAAGCTACTCAAATATTTTGACAATTTTAAAAACTTGGACTGCTTTCTTCATTTATGCTCTAGACATTAGTCCTATTTTTCCAGTCTATGGCATGGAACTTCATTCCTTTAACAGATTATTTTGATATCCAGAAATTCAAAATTTTGTTGAAGTCCAATTTACCTATTTTTATCTTTTATGATAGCATTTTATGGTTCTTTCTAACAAATCTTTGCCTGTCACAGGTCACAAAGATACTACATTATGTTTTTTACTGGATATTGTATCGTTTTGAGCTTTTACATTTAGGTCTATACTGTATCTTAAATTAATTTTTATATATGGAAAGAAGAAAAGCTGATTTTTTTAACCTATGGATAGTCAATAGTTCTGTCAGTATTTGCCAAAAAGATTACTTTCTTCTTGACCATTAAAATAAAATTAGCAGGCCTCCCTGTTGGCTCAAGGGGTTAAGTACAGTACTGTGAAGGTATCTGCAGCCTCTGCAGCATGAGTTCGATCTCTGGCCACCCAGGGATCTACCCACATGGTGCAATAGACGTCTCCTGTCTCACCTGCTGCTCTCCTCAGCAGTGTATTTCAGTCAGTCTGCCTGTTCTGTTCCCTACTCTGTCTCTGGTCAATCCTCTCACCCCCACACCTCTAGCCTGTACCCCAGTTCTTGTATGCATAAATAAATCTTTAAAAAAATAAAATTAGCAACCTTAGTTTAAAAAAAAGTAAATTTATGATACATACATAAGTATAGTTATGGACCCACTATTTCATTTAATTAAGCAATTTGTTTATTCTTATACAATGACGTATAGTCTTGATTGTTTTCAATCTTTGCCAAGGAGCTCACGCGTGTGTTGAGACACACCTTCAGCACTCAGGCAGCTTACAACTTATCATTAGTCTTCACTTCCTGTTGCTATTTCTTTTCTGAAGAATGTCAAGCAAGGACCTTTTCAGGTCTTTCCTGAGCATGTGTACAGTTTTGAGTAAGTGTGCATTCTTCCAAATTCCAAGGAATCTGGGCTATTAAAAGCCCTTACAGACTACTCATTTCCCAGTCTGTCTCTCCAAGTTTTTGGTTATTCTGTTGTTTTCCCTGTTACTTACGACTTCAGTCAGCAATACAAAGATATTAGTCTCTGAATATTTCCTACAAATGCCCCCTAAAAATCAGCGTTAGCACTGTGCCAGTTCTAAGTGAGGTGAAATAAAGACAAGCATTTTGTGATAGTCTTCCAGGTAGGCATCAGACAGGTCAGAACAAATAATCAGAATTCCTTCTGAGTGAGGTACTTTCTGCTTCCTATAGTACCATAAATGCAAGCTGTTATTTTCAAGGGTTTCTGCTAAACTAGGTAGTAGGGGATGGGACTAAGTTAAAATGCCACAAAGTTCACTATCCTTGCTAAGAATCAGCATTTTTTCTTAGTGAATGCTACTTATTTGCTACAAATCTTTGGTTTCTTTCCAGAGTTCAAGAACAAAAGTTGATTTTGACACTTTTAGCCTTTTTTTTTGTTGTTGTTGTTGTTGCTTTTATGGAGAGACAGAATTTGGGGTGCCTTACTTTGCCATTTTAGAGATCATTCCCATCCTTTTACTTTTAATCTATCTGTGTTTCTTTACTTAGTGTTTTATAAACAGTTTAAAGTTTGGTCCTTTTAAAATGCAATTTAATAATCTCTGCCTTTAATTAGACAATTTAGTCCATGTATAATTACTGTAATTTTCAGCATAGGTGAATTTTTTTTTGTATTGTTATTTGCTTTTTATTGATTCCATTCATTTTTTATTATGATGTTCTTTCTCCCCAACCATGTTTTTGAAGGATCAAGTAATTTTCAGTATTATATTTCATTTCAACTTCTATTATTTTTAGTGATTTCATGAGAATATTCACACTTAACTTAGCTCAGACTACCTTCGGATGATGTTATACTCTACACATCCAAAAAAACTAACAAAATAATCCCATTTATCCTTTATCTGTCCGTTGTTCCCTGTTTGTAATGCATCTTCTATATTTCCTATAAATCCCATAATAATTATTTTTGCTTCAATGAAGTCTTTTAAGGATTCAAAGATTTTGTAAAGATATTTTTTAAATAAACTTACCCTAATATTTTCCTTTACTGGTCCTCTTCATTTCTTTCTGAAGCTCTGACCTTTCATCTCTCTTTGGCCTGATGAAATTCTCTTGGCATATCTAGTAATGAAATTCCATAAGAGAATAATTTTTTCAGGTTTTCTATACCTGAATATTCTTTATTTCATTTATGAAGCATGTTTTTTGGTGGGATATACATATAATTTCTTACTTGAGATTTTCTACTTCTTTAAGCATGTATTCTAAAATCATGTCTTATCTAATCCAACCAGGCTGTTACCTAATCTAAGGTCGCCAAAGTTTCCTCTTATGGTTTCTTATGGAATATTTATAGTATTAACTTTTAATATGTATACGATCCATTTTTGGGTTAATTTTGTACATTATGGAGTTGTGGACTAACTTTAGCATTTATACATATAAAATATTCCAGCATTATTTATAGGAAAAAATTGTTTTCCTCTTGAAATACCATAAAATCTCTAACAAAAATCACTTGATTACATATATGTAAGCCTATCTCTGGACTTTATTCTGTTCCATTTTGTCATGAATAATTATTTTATTTTTTTAATTGAGGCAATACTGGTTTATAATACCTAATATGATTCAAAGGTATAGGTTTACACCTCTTCAGATCTATGTTACAACATAACACCTACCACCAAAGTACCCATAATCTTCCACCATAATCCATTGGGCTCCCTTGTCCTCAGGTAGCCTTAATTCGACAGTCAGATTTCTAGCATCTATTATTGGTGTGGTTTTGTCTGACCCTTCATTTTGTCTTTATTCCACATATAAGTGAAACCACAAGGTTTCTGTCTTAATCCTCTGACTTATTTCCCTTAGCATTACCCCTCCAGTTCCATCCCCTATAGAAAACAATATGGAGGTTTCTCAAAATATTAAAAATAGATCTACTTATGATGCAGCAGTTCCACTCCTCAGTAACTATCCAAAGAATTCAAAATCACTAATTTGAGGGAATATATGCACTCCCATGTTCACTGCAGCATTCTTCATAACAGCCAAGTTATGGAAATAATTTTATTTTTTAATGTTATTGTAGTGGAAATTATTTAAATTTTATCTTTAGGTATTGTTAGTAGTATAAAGAAGTATAGTAGGTTTTTATATAATGACTTTCTAACCTATGGTGTTGCAAAATCCACTCCTTACTTCCAGCAATTATTTTTTAGATTTCTTAGAATTATCTTCTACACAATTAGAAGGTACCTTCTATACCTTTCTTAATAATTACCTTCTATACAATTAGAGACTTTTTTGCTTCTTTTCAACAACCTTTATGCTTTTTTTTTTCCTTTATTTTATTGTATTGGCTATGACATCAAGTCTTTCACATAAAGTGGTTTATTAGCTAGAAGACTTTTAATAGATACTCCTTATCACATTAAATTTTATTTCAGGTTTAGAAGACTTTTTTTAAATGGTAAAATGGCTGTTGAATTTTGTCAAATGCCTTTTCTGAATCTAATTTAAAGAATCATGAATTGGTATTGCAACAAGAACAGACACACAGACCAATGGAACCGAATAGAAAATCCAGAAATAAACCCACATATTGATGAACAACTAATCTTTGACAAAGAAGCAAAGAATATGCAATGGAGCAAAGAAAGTTTGTTCAATAAATGGTGCTGGGAAAACTGAGTTGCTACATGAAAAAGAACGAAGCTTGACTACTACCTCACACCATGCATAAAACCCAACTCAAAATGGATTAAAGAACTAGACATGAGACCTGAAACCATAAAATATATAGAAGGAAATATAGGTGAAACACTACATGACATACACCTCAGCAACATCTTTAATGACTCATTACCCAAAGCAGTGATAGCGAAGGCAAAGATAAACAGCTGGCACTACATCAAATTTTAAAGAGCTTCTGTATAGCAAAAGAGACAGTAACCAAAACAAAGAGACACCCCACCAACTGGGAGAAAATTTTTCCACACAACACTAATGATAAAGGACTGATTACAAAAATCTACAAAGAGCTGACAAGACTCAACAAAAACAAAGTAAATAATCCAGTCAAAAAATGGGTAGAAGAGCTAAAAAGAAACTTCTCCGAAGAGGAAATGCAAATGGCCAACAGGCATATGAAAAAATGTTCAACATCACTTGTAATCAGGGAAATGCAAATCAAAACTACAATGAGATACCATCTTTCACCAGTGAGAATGGCACATATTAAAAAAAACTATTAACAACAAATATTGGCAAGAATGTGGAGAAAACGGAATTCTCCTGCATCGCTGGTGGGAGTGCAAACTGGTCCAACTACTATGGAAAGCTGTGTGGAGATTCCTCAATCTGCTAAAGATGGAGCTTCCATATGATCCAGCAATTTCACAACTAGGTATTTACCCAGTAGACACAGAATCATTAATTCAAAAGGGTACCTGAACCCCGATGTTCATAGCAGCACTATTTACAATAGCTAATGAAAAATGATGTAAAAAATATATTAAAAAATAAAAAAGACTCATGATTTTTCTTTTTAACCTTTATACTGCTTTAATCAATTTTTAGTTTAACTTACATTCTTGTAATGAAACACATTTGGTCAGAATAAATTCTCCCTTTAATGTTTTTTTCCTTTTTTTTTTTAATTCATTTATAAATTTTCTTACATTGTTAATTTTTGGACAGTATTTGATTTCTCCCCTCAGATGTAGTACACATAGTTCTCCCACCACTACAGCACACATGATCCATCACCAGTTTAATTTTTTGTTTAAAAAAAGGATGTTTGTGCCTTTGTTCACAAAGAAATTTAGACTGTTTTATTATGTTATCTTCAAAAAATGAGTTGAGAAGTAATCCTTCCCCTTTTACGTTTGCTAAGATTTAAAAAAAAAGTCATTTCTTCCTTAACTACCAAAAATATTTAGGAAATGATAGAAATCAACAGAAAATGCATGTAGACTTGGATTTTTCTTTGGAACAAGATTTGTTTTAACTGAGAATTGTATTAGTTACAATTAACTTCAAGTTTTCAAGCTATCTTTTTTTCTTCAGTGAATGTGCTAGTGTCTATCTTTCCAGGAATTCATTTAATTTATAAAGTTTAACTTATCAGTATAAATTTGTTTGTAGCATTCCCCTGTTATCACTATAATGTCTATAGAAAATGTAATGGTGCTTCTGCCTTAAATTTCAGTATCAATGATTGTTTACTCTTTCATTGTAATCAGTCCAACTGATGGTCTTCAATTTTATTGATCTTTTTAAAGTACCAGATTTTGGTTTCATTGTTTTTCACTAATATTTTCCTGCTTCTAGTTCACTGATTTCTGCTTTTTTTTCCCTATCTTTTGTATATTTGGGGTTTTTTCTTTTTTCCCCTAGTTTAAGATGGATGGCTTCATAATTGATTTGAGGTGTTTCATCTTTTCTAACATAAATATTTAACGATATATAGTTATCCTTATAATTTCTTCTTTGACAACTTGGTTGCTTGATATATATTGTTTATTCTTTAACTATACAGAGAATTTCCAAATATCTTTAGTTTTGATTTCTAGTTTGGTTCTGTTGTGGCCAAAGAAAATATGTTTGATTTTGATCCTCTTAAGTTTACTGAGACTAATTTTATAGTTAGCCTTTGTAAAATCTATTTCATACTAAAGAATGTATATTTTTTAGTTGTTGAATAGACTTCTATAAATAAGAATTAGGTCGATTATTTGATCAACTTGTTTGAGTCTTCTATATAACTACTGATTGTCTACCTACCTGTTATATCAAGAGCAATGTGTTGAAATCTAGGAGCATAATTGTGGATTTCTCTATTTATCCTTTAGTTAGTTTTTGCTTCATACTTGAAAATCTTTTATCAGGCACATACACATTTATGACTTTAAGTCTCTGCTAAATTGACCCCTTTATCATTATGAAATGTTTCTCTTTAACAACAGTTTGCTTTCCAAACTCTACATTGGTTAATATAGCCAACTCCACCTTTTCTAAAATTTGTGACTGAATATCTTTCTCCATCAACATACTTTCCATCTGTGTTTTTATATTTAAGGTGAGTTTCATTAGATAGCAAAAGTTGCACTTTGCTCTTTTAAAAAAGTCTGATCTGACAAGTTCTGCCTTTTATTCAGGTATTTCAGCCATCTGCATTTAATGTGATTATCAACCCATCTACCATCTTGATCTTTACATTTTATTTGCCTCCATCTGTTTGCTTATTTTTTCCCCCTTCTTTCTCTTCTTTTGGAATATTTTTCTTTCTTCAATTTCCACTAATGTTTTATTAGTTAAATCTGCTTTTTAGTTTTGCATCTGCTTTATGGGTTTACAACACATATCCTTTATTATACTTTATGTTTGGGTAGTAATATACTATTTCATGTATAGCATAAAAACATTTTGACAATATATTTCCATTTCCCCATTCTTTTGTGCTAGTATTGTTATGTATTTTACTGCTACATATGATATAAATGTTAAAATACATCCACATTGATTTTGCTTTAAAGAGTCAATTATCTTTGAAAGAAATTTTAAAAATAAAAGTTTTTAAAAATGTATCATTTGTTTCTAATTCTTGAACTCTTCATTTCTCTGTATAGATTTAAATTTCCATCTGGCATCGTTTTCCTTTTGCACCTATCTTTAATGTTTCTTTTAGTGCAATTCCAGCAACAACATGAATTCTCTTGTCTGTCTTAATTTGCCTTTGACTATATATATATATTTTTTTTTTAAAGATTTATTTATTTATTTATACAAGCACTGGGTACAGTCAGTAGCGCGGGAGGGTGAGAGAATTCACCAGAGCCAGAGAGGGGAGCAGAACAGACAGACCGATGAAATACACTGCTGTGGGGAGCAGCAGGCGGCAGGAGAGGTCTGCGCACCATGTGGGACCCTTGCCCGGCGGCCGGGGATCTAACCGGTGCTGCACAGGCTGGGGGCAGCTTCACAGCCCAGCGCTCAACCACTGCGCCACCAGGGAGGCCCTGGCTATATATTTTTAATGGGAATATATAGTTCCTGGTTGACAGTGTTTTTTCAACCATAAAAGATGTCACTCTGTTGTTTCCTGCCTTAAATAGTTCCACCTAGAAATTGGCTCATCTTTTTCTGTAGATTATGGGGGCTTTTCCTGACTTCTTTTTTTATTTTCTGATTATTACTGGCTTTCATCATTTTCATTATGATACACATTGGTGTGATTTTCTTTATGTTTGTTTTGCATGGGCTGCAAGGAATTTTATGAATTTGTGAGTATAAAGGTTTTCTTAAACTACATATATTTTCTTAAAATATTGGAAATATTCCAGCTATTATTTCTTTACACACATTTTTTGGCTCTCTTTTCCTGGAACGTCAATACATACTTAATACTGTTCACAATTATTTAAAAATTTCTTTTGTCTTTCTGCCTCACTTCAGAGATTTTCCTTTGCTGTGCTTTCAAGATCACAGATATTCACTTCTGCACAATCTAATACGTTTTCAGTTTATTTTTCATTTCAGATACTACAATTTTTTTGTATCTTTCATTTCTCTACATATTGTATATATGTTTCCCCCTACTTTATTGATATTATGGAGTATTTATAATAGCTGTCCTAAAAACTTTGTTGCTGGAGCCATCATTTATAATTTCTAGTTCTATTTTTAGCGGATTGATTTCGATTTTTTATTTTTTGATTTTTGAGTTTTCAGTTTGTTAAGATTTAGATTTTCCTTCTTCATATAACTGGCAATTTTTATTAGATTTTTAATGTGTATTTTATGCTGTGGGTTGTAAAATTTTGTTATATTATTTTAAATAATATTGAAATGTGTCCTGACAGTTAAGTTACTTGGAATCATCTCCCTATGAGGTCTACTATTAAAGTTTGTTAAGGTCAAAACAAACTATGTTGTAGGACTAATTTTTGCTCTAACATAACTTTTTTTAAAGATTTATTTTATTTATTTATGCATACAAGAACTGGGGACTAGGCCAGAGGTACAAGGGATTCTAGGCCAAAGGTGAGAGGATGCACCAGAGACAGTGTAGGGAGCAGAACAGGAGGATCCACCGAAATATACTGCTGAGGGAGGCAGTGGGCAAGACAGGAGAGGTCTGCTGCATCATGTGGGTCAGCTTCCTGGTCAGGGATCGAACTCATGCCACAGTGGCTGGTTTGGCTGGTTTGATAGCGCTGAGACTTTAACCCCTGTGCACCAGGGAGGCCCTCAACATAATTCTTTAGATTCTACTGAATGGGGCATCCCCTAGTTGCGCAGGCAGTTAAGCACCACGCTGTGAAGCTGTCCCCAGCCTCAGCCTCTGCAGTGCCGGTTCGATCCCAGCCAGCCAGTGAGGGTCCCACATGGCGCAGCAGACCTCTCCTGTCTTGCCCGCTGCTCCCCTCAGCAGTGTATTTCGTCAGTCTGCCTGTTCTATTCCCCGCTCTGTCTCTGGTGAATCCTCTCACTCTCCCACGCATTTGGCCTGTACCCTGGTTCTTGTATAAATAAATAAATAAATCTTAAAAAAAAAAGGCTTAAAAAAAAAGATTCTACTGAATGTCCTTTGTATAGTGGAGGACTTTGCTTCTAGCGGTTTAGAATACAAACCATTTCTCCAATGTGAGCTCCAGATTTTTTCTTACCACTATTCCAGTGGTTCTTAGATCTATGTGAGATCTAAGTCTTACATAGATCAGTATGCAGCCACCGTCTTAGCAATTCTCTGCAAAACTCCAAAGTTGCCTCTCAGAGCAACTCCCTGTTGTTGGCACTCTGTCTTACAAATTATAGCTACCTTCACATCCCTGATTTCTGATCATCACCTCTTTAATTTGGGGAGACTGCTGGGCCCTGTTTGAGTTCCCCTTCCCCTGAGCCCTTGCTGGAAACTGCCTCTAGGCAGTAAACTGTGGAAGGTAGGGCTAACTTTGTTTCTTTTTTCACAGAGTTCAGAGTTCTACTTTGCCTTCTATTCAATGCTTCATGTCCACTGTATCATGTATTTTGCCTAGTTTTTTCTTGTTTTCTCTACCATTCCATCACTATCATGTGCAGAAATTGCCCAAGGGTATAATCTTTAACTGGGGCAAAAGTAAACTGAAGTGTCTAGTAAGGCCAAAGCATTTATTTTTCATTTTCGGGATTTGATGAAACATTGTTATGGTTATTTTGATATTTATTTTTAAACAGCTTTGCTAAAAGATATCTAACTTAGGCCAAATGCAATTATGCTTCTAATAACAGATATGAGTGATATTAGAAGGCTTAATTAGCTAACCAAATCAAAACACTTTCTAAATTAACTAAAAGAAAGGAATGCCATGCTTAACTTCAGGTATCAAAAAGAGAACAGATGGTTTCATAACATTCACTCTTATACAGATGAACTATTTCAAAAAAGAAAGAAATCACTTACTTTACAAGTAGTCATCACAGGTAACTTGATGTTCCAGGTCAATGTGAACTGCTTCTCCAATTAGAAAGGAGGAGGAGCACGGTGAGACAGGACAAAGGCTGCAACTGAAAGTGTGAAGAAATCTCTACTTTCCACAGGAGCAAAATTGCATAAACATCACAATAATTTCACTTCTGTCTGAAGATAAAAAAGAGGCCTGCTTCAATTTTCTTCATTGCCATTTTTCATTTCTCTGATTTTACTATAACAGCATATAAGCGTTCTGTAATAGGAGTTGGCCCAAATAAAAAGGTTACCATAAAAAGTAATCTCTTACATAAAGTGGTTAGTTGTCATAAGATACAAATTCTCAAATTGATAAATTATACCTCTATACTTAGAACTTGTGCAGGTAAATTCTACTTCATGATAGAAACTGACACTATGAAATACATGACTATTGAAAAGGGAATGAGAATATCACACACACACATAAATATTTCCCTTTTGCTCAGGAAGAAAATGCTATAAATTTTTGGTGTTGATCAGCCAGCAATCTGCTTTTATTTATACGAGAATGGGGGAAAGGGTAGCAAAATATAGTGGTAGGTATCCTCTCCTTTAACTTTAGAAGTAGCAGGAAACTTGTCGGTAATAGAGTAAGACTTTTCCACCATTAGTGGTGATGGAGATTTTTATGTCCAAAAGTAATTCCAAACCCCACATTCTGTAAACTGTCTCCATTCCATCCAGACACACTTTGAGACCAAGGACTCATAGATATTTACTTTTAACTTGGTTTTCCATTATTTCCAACTTTTGTTAAAGAATGGCATTTTCTAATTATAGTAGAGATTTTTAAGATGGCCCAATTCAGCTTGCATCATATCATGTTACACTATAGCAGTTTGTAAATCTACCTCTGCTTTTTCCATATTATCTGCCAATTTTTAACCCGTGGGGCAAATGCTTCAAGTTTACCTTAATCTTCTCTTTACCTACATTAATAGGTTGTAAAACAGTTTAAGATGAACCTCAAAAAGCTCATCTGGATCCACCCCATCCTCAGGCTTTACAATTCTATAAGACAGCAAATGTTCTTACTGTGGTAAACAAGCAAAGGTCACCCTTCCTCTCTCGCTATACTGGGAATGACACATCCGATACTGAGAACTGGGACAATTAGGAATTCTGGGGGGAAACTACCCTAAGAACGTTCTGTATTGAGCTTTGTTAACACATCGTCGTAGGGAAAGTACAGGGCTGGGCCGCCATCAGACTCTGGATTCAAATCCCAGTTCCACATTTGCTAACTGAGAGACCAGGAGACCGCTCTGAGACTTGCTTTCCTTATCTGTAGCTCAGGGGAAAGAAAAATACCTGCTTTAAGGGCTGTGGGAGAGATGAAGTGAGGTTATGCCTGGCATGTAATACCAAATGTTAAGTGAGTCTGTGGTGGGGGGGAGCGAGGGAGAGAGAGAAAGAGAAATTGTGTGTGTGTTGACATGTCCCTGACTCACTTGACAGCACTCACGAGACAGGGCGAGAGCTGGGCTAAGTGGCAGAGGATGGTGCCAGGGAGTTCTTTAATCAGTCATTATTTTCATTAGGCTGTTTTCCCATCTCGGCCTTGTAGGGCGGACTGTAGTGTGTCTTGCATAAGCCTGCTCTAGGAGCTTGAGAGCTTGAGTCTATTCCACAATTACCTGAGCCCCGTGAAACCGCGGCAAAGCCATGGCCTCCTCCTGGCGCAAAGCGAACTTCCTCAGGGCTGCCGCGGGTGGAGGCAGCCGGGCCCTGGGCGTGGCTGGGGGTGCTGAGGCCGACTCCGTGCTACAGGGTGTGGTCAGCGCGGTGACAAGAGTCTTCGTGTGCACGGGAACTTGAAGACTACAGAGGAACGCGCGGGCGCCCATGGAGCCGAAGCATAACCGGGAACATGGCCGAAGCTCCCAGCATGCACCGCGTCTGTAATTAGGCGCCCGGGGGGCCCCACCTGAGCGCAGGTGAGCCACCAGCATTGGTGAAGCTTTAGAAACGGTGGCTGCTTTGGCCAAAAGGAGTTGAAAGGAAGGGTTTGCTGCTGTCCTGATGGAGGGAAAGGAGCCCGAAGGCATACTTTGCAGAGCTGTGCATTTCCATGGAGAGGGACAGGCACACCGCCTGACTTTGAGCAGTGTGTCTTACAGAAAGGCATTTCCTCCCTGATGATCATAACTGAAATAGGAGCCAAAAAATAGTCAACATTGTGTACGTTTGATTTGCATTCGTGTTTATTTACATCTTGGTGTACATGCATGAGAGACAGGGCCTCTTCCCTCACATCTCACATGGAATGTGCAAATAAAGCTTGTGCGGTGATCAAACACAAAGAAAGTTACCTTAAAACTGCTCCACTGCAAAATCAGGCCTCCTCCAAAGGGGCAGGAGTCCTGCCCAACAGAATCAAAGCAGCAGTGGGCACTGGGAGCCCCGATGACCAGACCTGTGTGCTGGGGGTGGCTATGAGCTGGGAGCAGCAAGCCTCACACAGGCACAATTAGTGTGTCTTCTTAACTTTCCTTCTAAAGTTATTCGAGGGGACTGTGGTTTTGCCCTGAGCAAAACCCCCTTAACAGCAGGGAATCTAAAAACAAACAACATTATTTTATTAGGTTACCCCAGCAGATGAAAGCAGAGTGTTCCATTTGGACTCTTTTTCGAGTAAATTAATGCATTAGCTAAAAAGAAACCCCTCTGAAAGAGAGTAACCGTTGTCCTCTGTAGCTTCTAAAGGAAAACTTACACTGTGCTTCTAAGGACACATAAATGTTAAATGGTGAGAAGAACAGAGAAAATGAGTTGTAAGTAATTAATATCCATTGACAAGAAAAACTATTTTAATGATATATTGCAGCTCCAATGCATCACTAATTCTAAAAGACATGATTTTTTAAAAAGTATTATTTTTAACATGACCAGGAAATCAAAATATCTCAGTTTATGTGACATTTCCTGACTCAAACTAAGCAACCAATTAAAACCCATTTATATAGTTGCATTAATAAAATATATATTTACTTATGAATTCTCCATACATAAGACTGTGATTGTTTTCAGCTATGGTTTTAACTCCAGAAGTAGAAAAAGCCTGTAAAGTAAGAACCTAATAAATTGCTTATTGGAAAAAATATGTTCCTCAAAAGTCCATCTGTTCCATCAGTCCGTCCATCCATCCATCCAATCATCTATCTGTCCATCCGTGTGTCCATCCACCCATCCATCCAAATCATAACCAAAAGCCCACTAAATTCCTTGCATGTGGAACATGATCATACACAGATCTACTCATGTAGCCCAATCTGCTTTCTAACTGAAGATTATCAATATGTTCAAAGAGAAAAGTGTCTTTAGCTGCCTCAGCTGTTAAAATGAAGCAGCAAGCCCCCTGTGATCTTCATGGAAAGTAGAACTCTGGTAAGGTTGAGTTATTCCCCAAAGGTAAAGCACACAGCACACCCCTTTTGTGCACAGTACCATTTGTGGAAAGAACATTTCACTGCTCTTAGCAGGGAACGAGTCTTTTAAAAATCTTTGGAAAAATCCACATTCTGAAAGCGTTTGATTACCCAGAATTTAAAATGGGATTTTGCTCAGTGGCAAGGCTACAAATTCATCCCTACAAGTATGGCTTCTGCGGTAAAGGACACATGATGATGACATTTAGAGATGCTTTATCTAGAAAGGTTGATAAATGGGGTCACAACATGGGATTCATCAAATTCCATTTGGAATATTGAAGACTTTCCTCCTTCTACCTGAAGTATTCCAATGTGACTTGCTGAATACCTAGCCAGAGGAGGTTACAGTTTCAGGCACAATTTGTTCCTGTTTTTATTCCCTGCTCACTGAGTTATGTGCTGTTAAACATTTCCAGAAGACTGTCAAAATGTAAGCATCCTGAGGTTTACATAGGCCACACCATTAAATAACATATAAGCACAATATTTTAAACATTGTTTTCCAGCAATGGTAAATATTTTAGCTAAGTAAAAACTGAAGCTTGAAATGCAATAAGCATTTAAATGACTCCTATCTGTGCCAGAATTCTTATTTTCCCCCGTGCAACCCTGGCTGCTGGGATTAAGGCGACCCCAGGGAGCTCAGCAAATGGTTGTGGGTTATGAGGTGTAGCATGAGTTTGGCGACAGCGTGCCACCCAGCCTCAAGAAACCCAGCCACGATTGGAACCCAAGAATCAGTGTGTTCACTTTGTGGTCGGGTTCACATTTTTTTCCCTCCTTGGAAAAAAAAAAAACCCTGCTACATAAGTCAGGCCTCTCCCCCAATCCCCAAGCAATCACTACATGGACCAAGGGCAGAGCTGAAAGACTCCGGAGCTGGCAGAGCAGGGGGAGGCTGGCCCCTTTGGGTGGGTGGGCATGCATGCAGGAGTTACACGTTTTTCAGTTTCTCAGTACTAGGGAGGCAAACGGCCAACTGCATGAACAGCAGCCACAGCACTGGCAGCCTATTGTGCTGTCACTTCAGGAAGAAGAAAAACCCAGAACAAATTTGACGTGGTTTTGACCACACTGTGATTGCAGCCCTATTCAAGGATGTCACAGTCACACCACCCACTGAGCAGAACTCAGATGAAATGAGGCCTCCTTCAAAGTGTCTCAAGTCTCTGCTTATCCCCTAACAGAATAAGCCAAGGATTTTAAAGAAATACAGCCTTTTGACCATATCTTCCTTGATGTCCTGATACCTATTGCATCTCATTTACTAAAGAGAAATGCCCTCAGCTACAGGTTAAGTCCCACCAAACACCAACAGCGCCTATAGAAGATAGGGTGATGCACCATTATTGAGATTTGGGTCAGTGTTTCTATCATGAAAATTTGATCTTCAATAAAATTTTAAGCAAGCGAAGAGAAGGAAAGCAAGAGGTATACACTCAGGGACTTTTCTCCATATTCAAAGGAATAAAGCTTTAGTGCTTATTGTACCACCAGCCAAATGTCTAAGATACCTTTTGAGTTGTGTGACTGGTCTTTGAGATTAAAATATATTTGTTATTTATCACATTGCACAGGGATTGGGGGTGACAATGGGTAGAGTGAGGGGTTTTCTCTTTGGCTTTGTCATACCAAAACTGTAAAGGAAGCCAAGTGTGCATTTTCCCTTTCTCTGGTGAGGATATAACAGAGCTTCTGTTTACTTAAAAAAAAAATAATAATTCAGACATGGATGGTGCTGACATTCTGATTTTGAACATTAACTTCTGAATGTCAACCTGCTGACCTACAGCAAGATAGAGACTGAAAAATGGTTCTCTTACAGAGCGAAATTTTGGAGACTCAGAATGTGTAAAATGACTACTGAAAGATTACAACCAGTAGCCTGTTGGAGAGCATGCTTACACGAGAACCCTAAATTTTTTTCAAGACTTAGCTCTTTTCCCAAATCATTATGGTGTGGCCAAATACTACCAAATGTGAGATACAGTGGCAGGTTTTGGGAATGATAGACAAGATTAAAAAATACAATTGCCACTATTTTATATCAATTCTGATGCCCAACTATTAGTAAAATAATTCTCAAGAGGCTGACAAAGGCACTGAGATGACTAGCACGAAATGTCAGCTTGCCAGGTTCCTTGTCTTCCTCTATTGAATGCAATTTCTCTCATTCTGAACATGGCACACTTGGAAGCAAGGAATGCACTACCTTGAAAGAACAGGAGGATATATCCATGTCAACAGGTGCAAAATTTCCCTCAAAGTAAAACACAGAGTCCAAGAATGACAATTATCATAGTCATCAACCACATGACATACACAAGCACAAACAATTCCATAGCTTTAAAAATAGTTTATTTTCTTCCTCACAAACACACAAGCCTTCTGGCCATTATACAAGGTACCACAAATTAAAAGCTATTAAAGTGTGTTTGTCTTACATGATTCAAGATAAAATGGATTTTAAAAGTAAATGGGCGCCAATAACAGGGGGTTGTGTGGGGATACAGGTAGGTCCCAGTCACAGGGGCATGCATTTTTCTACATTGTTTATTGATATAGAAGAATCACCATTTGTGCATCATATGAGCAGTTACCACACTAGCACTTCCAGGAGAGAAGGGGCATCTCATAGTTTCTCTATTAATATAATAAAATGCCAAGAGCACTTCCATAAAGTACAAAGACTTCTCCCAAGTAGTCTTGGCACCAGTAACAGAATATGATTATTAAACATCTTCAATGTGGTTTTCGTTACAAAAAAAACATGTTTCACATAAGAGCTTCATAATATAATACAGAGACAGAATTAGTGCATATTTAAAATGTGAAACCAGGCTGGCTATTTCTGACAATATTTTCATTGCTTCCAGTGTTTTTTATTGCTATAAATATGCACCTAGTTTCCTACCAAGTCAAACACATGCATGAAACACTTTGCTCTGAGCACCATGATTGCCTTTTAGTAACATTCTTGGGACTGAAATCCTAGTCTAAGGAGAACAGCTCTCATTTCTATTCAGCTTCAGTTCTCCTAAATCATGTTAGTGCTGACCAAATCCCAGCCAATGTGAGATGCAAACAAAGGTTTGTGAGCAGAGGCCCAAATAATAATTACAAATAATTTCACAATGATCTGGTTATGAGAATACAAAGAAAACGAATGATTTCACTTCATAAAAAGCCTCAAATTGAATTGTAACTAGAGATGGAGATGAAAGGAATGAAATATTGCTTCATTCTGAGATGTGCATTCTTTAGCAACAGCTACAGCAATCTCCCAGCGCCAGCCCTGCTATGGGCCTCCACTGGGCACTTTTGAGGTAGATGTTGATGGCTTGAAGAGAGGTAGGTAAAGTCCAAATTTGTTTTCAATCCCTGCAAATGTTGCGACTGCCAGTTTATAGCCTCCAACATGATCAGGATTGGGAGCAGGCAGTGTGAGCCTGGATTTAGAAACCGGCTCTGATCTCACGGCTTTTCTGTAAGAAGAGAAAATAGAGTGTAAGTCTGAGTTTTGTTTTATTATTTCTTTTCACATGGTAAAGACAACATTCAAAACCTTGAAATCTACATCGTACAGGAGATGAGGAATTCTAGCAGGTCATATGCTCTCCTTTGACATGAGTTTGTAACATATTTTAGTGTTTTTCTACATTTTCTATTTTTCCACATTTTTATTTCCACTAGACTGATGCACCTTCCTCAAGGGCGACTGAGTATGAGAAGCAACTGACATTTAGCTGCAGAGTTAGCAGGATACTTACACTCCTCCAAAATCAATGTTGAACCATCGCTGTAGCAATTCATATGTCAGCAAAGTGACACCAAACTGGGGTGAGGATCGAAACACACGAGCTTTGACAAAAATGGAGAAATAACAGACATAATTAGATTTTTTAAAAATTTACCTGATACCAAGGGTTTAGTTAAGAACAAATTATTTCCATACCACCAGCTCCTTTCCACAAAGCCTTTGGGCCTTCTTGCCGCAGTATCTTCCTGAAGCAGTCTATCACTCCATTGTAAGTGGTTTGGCCAGCCCGGGCAGCCACCTGTAATCGAGTCTTGATAACATCAGCAGGGGTCACTAAAGATGCCGCAGGCATACCTGCAGGAAAGACAACACAGCGGAGGCCAGTCACATTCTCACTATATAAAAATAACTGCTATGAAATGCCGGCCATGGAAAGAAAGTAAAGAAGCTGATGAAATCAAATGCCTATTTCACTATCCTCTCTGAGAAGCACAGTGGTTGACTATCTTGTCAGCGTGATAGAGACCCCTCGACACCTACAGACACCCCTCATTTTCCCTGCCCCAAAGCACCCATTCCTTACCTTTCTAGTCTTACATAATTTTAAGGAATGATTTTGCAGTAGCACCGCTCCAAGTAGTCGAGAGCAAGTGGAAAGTTGTTTTCTTTTTCTTTTTAATTTGCCTTTCTATTGAAATCTGATCAGAAACTAGCAAAGTTATTAAGTCCGATTTTTCAGAGGTGAAGCTTGTTTGCGTTTCCTTCTCATGCTTTTCTGTGGCTGCCAGCAGTCCTGGGAGGTGCTTCTCCACACATGCAGCCACCAGCTAGCCTCCAAACCCTAAGCTCTCCAGTTACACCAGAAAAAATCTTTACTGATAGCTACATACTGTTTGTGTGTGGGGAGGGGGTGAAAGGGGAGTAGGGGGGGTGATCATAGATAGCACGTTAGGATTTCTTTTTCCTAACAGTGACATCTCTAGAAAAAATATTTGACAGAAAGCTTAAAATTTATACTGGCTGTTAATCAATGAAAAAGAAACAACAACAACAACAACAAACCCTCCCCAAATTACCAATGGGAAATTTTTCTACAGTCATTTTATCCAAAATGGGGCAGTCCATGTTTAGATTTTTAAAAGCGAGACTGTACTCAGAAGACACTGTCTCTTATGGTTTTATTACTTTTCCATTATGAACCTATTCCAAACCAAATTGGTCAAATGCAGATGCATAAATCTCTTTTGCTTTTTTTAAGGCTTAATAATTCTGTAAGAATTTCTGTCCAAACCAACGTGGTCTGGCTTACAACTACATCTCATCCTTCTAACAGACAGCTTTAAAGTTACAGTGTGTGCATGTGTGTCTGGGGAAATCTGCATGCTACACGTTTGCATTTATATGACTAAGCTGTATCTCTTCCTCGTCCATCTTTACTCGGTTGCCCAAACATTCATCTGAAGTAAGAGTTTTCATAAAATGCATCATGTTTTTGCATGTGAAAAAGCTCATTTTATATTCAGTGTTTTGCTGGATAAGTCAAACTGAATTTCCTATTAGCTTGGAGGAATTATTTTAACTTTGAGCCAAGAATTTATCCTCCAACATAATGGAAGGAAACAGAAAAATGCTTAGAAACCCACTGTGTTCACACCACTGATTTTGTTTTACTTCCTGGTTTAGAAAGAGTTTAGCAAGGCTGTCTTGCTTTAGAAATGCAATAAAACCCTCCTTACAACAGTGAGCAGGCATGTCAGAATGTGAAAGACATACAAGCAATAAAATGGGTAAAAAATGCCATTCAGATAGGATAGTTTTTATAATAGTTTCATGGTATAAAAGAGAGAAGTGTAGGGATAGGGGTGGGGTGAGAAAGAAAGATAATGATGAGTGGAATTAAAAATGTCCAAAACCCCCCTGCCATTAAAATACTTAGTAAATTGTCTGGCAAAACTGACTGGTGTCGTGAGGGTGCTAAAAACAGACAGCCTGCACAGAACCCCTTCTGGCTCCCATCTCTCCAGGGCAGAGAGCTGCGAAGACCAAGGTGGGGACTTGGGATTTCTGGTGTGGAGATTTGCTAAATTAACCTGGGGAACAGCACCAAACTGTTGATATTTAGGGCTGGGGTTGACAAAGATTACAAGTTGATTTGCTTGGTGTTCCAAAGGCTAAGACAATGTTGATCATGTTTTCAAGTTTTCTCTATTTCTATATTGGGGGAGCAAGAAGAGGATAGGACACAGGGAGGCTTCTTAGGTGTCTCAACACAGAGGAGACCAGTAGCCTATTGACTCTTCAGTGGTGAGACAAATGTAGAGCCCATGGGGCCACCCACTACCTGAGTGACAGGAATATTTTGGGATGTAAGAAAATTTTAACTCTTTAAGTTTTCTCAGACTTCAAATGATTAGATTTTTTTTTAAAGAGACCGCTTCTAAAAGTGTGTTTTTACCAGGATCGTTGATTTCATTCACATTTATTACAGATTTTGTCTGCTAGCCCAGGTTTTTATTTTCTCTGCTTCTAGTTTTTTCTTTTGATCTCTACCCTTTCCTGCTTAAACATATATATTGAGATACTATATGCATTTATTACCTAGGTGTAATATTCACAATGTGTGCAATTAATTAGCATTTACTTCTTCTAGGTGAGGTGATGATGAGGTGAGGACTTCAGTGCACTTTTACTTTTGTTCTTCCTTCCCTATAATTCTGCCTCCGAAACAACCACTCTTGTATTAATCCTTACATCGAAGTTAGCAACTCTTTAGAATGATTCTCAGGTCTGACTTTTATTTGCTGTGTATCATATAGCCCACATTTTACTCTTTCTTAAACTCTCCATTTTGCTTCTGAGAAGATCTGGTGGAGGAGTATTTGAGTTTGTGCGTGGAAGAAAGTGACTTGAGGTTTTGCCCTCCCTCCTAAATGCTAGTATGCCTGGGAATGTAATCGAGGTTCAAAACATTATCTTCTTGGCATTTTTAAGGTATCCAGGATTGTGGATGAGAAGTCAATCTTCTATTATTGATATGTTTTCTATCTCCCTTTCCTTATTTCTTTTGCAAAGGGAACTTCTGTTAAATAGATATTAGATCCCCTGCCATTATTCCTACATGTCTCTCAATTTTTTTCTGATCTTTCATCTCAATACTTCTATTCCATATTCTAGAGGTTCTTTTAATCCATGACTTTATTTCCAGATGCTTAATTTGGTCTTTGGGCATATCTACACTATTATCCAGGCTACCCATGGATTTTAAATTTTGGTAATCTTATTATAAATTTTCAAGAAAGCTTTCTTATTGATTGCTTCTTTCAGATGCCTCAAAAGGCCCTAATTACAGTTCTTAAAATTTTTCTTCTGTTCCAAGAATTGCCTGTTTTCTCTGTAATTTCCCCTATTTACTTAGCTTGATACTCCTTTTTTGTCTGAGGACCTCTGGCTGTTTATTGATCTTCAAGTTCAAAGGACAGGCTGGTTAGTGTTTAGGACGGTTCCTACCACACCCTCATCAATCTCACCCCCAGGAGCTTCCCTGAATGGACAGGTGCAATGGCTCCATGAGGGGGAGAGACCTGTTAATTGGGCACAGAGGCTAAGGTAGGCTGCCAGGATGGGGACTTGCCAAATCACTGAAATGTAGGGAGCTTCACTTTGGAAGCAAAAGGAATTATTTTCTCCTCCTCTTAGGAAGAGTGGACATCAGTTTATTATTTTCTCTGTGGTCAAGGCTGAGAATTACTGGAAGACTTGCCCTGTTTTCTATTCAGTTCCTTTCATGTGTCCTCTTGCTTAAGAATACAGCACTGGGATTTTAACCAGGCTTCAAGGCAACCTGAAGCTCCAGATAAAAAGGAGAGGATACAGGAAAAAAAAAAAAAAAAAAAGAAGAAGAAGAAGTGGATAGGACCAAGCTAACCTCACTGCAGTGAATGCGTTCTTCAACTCTTGTTAATGATTCGTCCTAAAACCTCCACTCCTCACTCCAGGCATTCTATTGTTCATTTAGAGGCTAACATTCTCTGCTTCTGTGTTTATATTAAGAGTAGTTTTTCCTGCTCATATTTTGGGTTGTGGCATATTTCAGTCCAACTTTAGAGCCGATATGGTTCTGTCTCCTGTCTTCTGAGGGCTGGTGCTAACCGTTTTATGCCAATAAGGAGTTTTGAAAAAATGTATTTTCTAACATTTTAAGGTATTTGGGAATAGAGAAGTGGTGGATGAATATGCTCAGTCTGTTACCTTCCTCTAAACTCTCTATTACTCTTTTTAAGGATCTAAGAATTTCTTTTAAATTATTTTGAGCTTCAGGGGCCTCCCTGGTGGCACAAGGAGTTAAATCGCAGCACTATGAAGCTATCCGCAGCCACTGCAGCATGAGTTCCTTCCCTGGCCAGGGAGGTGACCCACATGGCACAGCAGAAGTCTCCTGACTCACCTCCTGTTTCCCTCAGCAATGTATTTCAGTCAATCCGCATGTTCTGTTCCTGACTCTGTCTGTGGTGATTCCTCTTACCCCCCACACCTCTGGCCTGTACCCTAGTTCTTGTATGAATAAATAAATCTTTAAAAAAATAAATTATCTTAAGCTTCATATTCATATAATCAACACATTTGTGCCAACAGTATTTCTCTCTTAATAATACACATTTGTGACAGCATCATGATCAGTCACACATACACAAGACTTCATCTCAGCATATTCCATTACTTTTAAAGATATTCCTGAATTACAACTGAAGTCTAAGCAAGTAATTCAAAGAAAAGGTCATTGCTACAGTTTGACTTGTTCCTGTATCTCATCACTCTCACAATTAAAATCATGGAGTAGATCACTCCCCTCTATAAAGTTTGAGGAGTATTAGATAACCTTTATTTGATATTTTACATAAAACAAATTTACTGCCCTTCATTAATCCAAAAACAAGTTGACTGGAGGAAATTGAAATATGATTTTTTAATTTCAGGTTCCTGCTTCAATCCTCACCTTCTGACATAGTGAGACACTTTGGCCATTGAACATAAGTTCAAATATTGGTTATCCTGTGAAATAATGGTGTAGATGATTTATTTATTTAATGATTCCCAGCTTATAACTAGATAGTAAATCTAAAAAAAGTTCTCTAGGTTTTGACATACCAACAACTACCTCTGTTATATAATCTGTTAACTATCTGCATAGTTACACAAAATCAACAACCTAATTTCAAGTGAATCCAATGTTTGAAAAAAGATCATACATGAGTAACAGAAATTACTATCAGAATACACAAAGTACAATGTTATTCATTTTATACCAGTTCCATCTTATTTATAACAGGTTCAACCAAAAAATGTATATATCTATGTAAGAGATAAACTCAAAAATAAAATACAAAAGTGTCTTCTTTCCTTTTAATCTCACTGGCATCCATAAAGAATGTGGGAATCTGGGACTCCCTGGTGGTGCAGCGGTTGAGCAATGGGTTGCAAAGCTGCCCGCCGCCTCTGCAGCGCCAGTTCGATTCCCAGCTGCTCCCCGGCCACGGGAGGAGGGTCCCACATGGCGCGCAGATCTCTCCTGCCGCCCGCTGCTCCCCTCAGCAGTGTACTTTGGTCCTTCTGCCTGCTCTGCTCCCTGCTCTGGCTCTGGTGAATTCTCTCACCCTCCCGTGCTTCTGACTGTACCCAGTGCTTGTATAAATAAATAAATAAATAAATAAATCTTTAAAAAAAAAAAAGAATGTGGGAATCTGATAAAACTTCCACTCAACAGTCCCTACAAGCATGGTGCATTTTTGTACTTGTTGCTACTTCTGAACTAATGTTTTCTTGCCTTTCCGCACAGAGAATTCAGCAATCCAGCTGAGCAGGCCAGCAGGTCCCATACTTGGCAGCTGGTTGCCCAGCTCTCTCCCATGATATCAGTTAACTGCATATCACTGGATATAGATTTCTATGTTCATTATAATAAAATCCAATACTAATTTTTCTTATTCCTTGTAATACATTAGGCATTTTAATGTGGATTTCAGGTACACAACCATTTGCAAATGAGGACAGCTTCATTTTTTTTTTTTTTCCTAATATAATGCCTCTACTTCTTTTTCTTATTTTACCACATTGACTGGGACCTCCAAAATATGATTGAAAACTGAAATGATAGTACAGCTTTGCCTTATCCCTAACTTTTACAAGAATGGCAATTATAACATTTGACATTGGTTTCTGATATCTGTTATTAACAAAGTAGGTTAGTTTTCTTAGTTTTACATAGATTTGTGAAATATGCAACCATATGCTTTGTAGTTGATCTGTTTTTTGGGAAAAAAAAAAAAAACACTGATGGGACAAGTTGTCTTATATTTTTCCTATCTTATAGGGAAGGGAAGATGAGGGGAAGATGGACAATAAAATGTAAATAAACGTATAGTAAGTATGCAGCTAGCTCTGTAAATAGCCTGCAATGATCTTTATATTCTGGTATTTGCACCTCTGCCTCTGTGTCGTCTCTATGCATAACCAACAGGACCTTGTGAAAATGAAGGAGTGTGACTTTTAAGGTTAGGCCATAAAAGACATTACAGCTTCTGTTTTGCTTTCTCTCTCTCCATCCTTCTTCCCTCTTCTGCTTCCCCACCCTGACTCTGATCTTGCTCTGACCCAGCTGCCCTATGGTGAGGACATCCAAAGTAACCTATGGAGTTCCATGTGGCAAGAAACTGAGGCCTCTTGCCAATGGCCATGTGATTCAGCTGCCTGGAAAGTGAGTCCTCCCATTCAGAGAACTTGACTGTCGTCTCAGGTCAGACCTTGAGCCCGAGGCACCAGGATAAGCTCCTGAGCCACAAAAACTATGAAATGATAGTTTGTTGTTTTAACCTGGTAAGTTTTGTGGTAATTTGTAATGCCACAATAGATAACTAATTCAAATGGTATCTGGAAAAGAACTCTGAAAGACAAAAGGACTAAGATAATAGCAGCATGAGTATCTTAAATATTTCAAACCTTCAAGAATAATGTGGCAATGCCTTGAATGCAATCATATTTTTTTCCCCAGCAAACTGATTTTAGAGAATATATTTCTCTAAAGAAAATGATCCAAAATAGTGAAAAAGCCTTTCAGCATAAAGATTTTTAAAAGTAACACCACACATTTAAACTTTTCTGAGAAAAATTTAAGTATCTAAAATCGAGGATAGAATGGTATGCAGAATTTAAAGGCCATATTTACAGAGTTTTAAATGCCATATAACATTAATATTATTATTGAATATTTAAAAATATTTACTATTAGCCAAAAAACAAGCAGAGAGGGATTAAATAATTTGTGTAGGTAACACGGTTCTTTTTTTAAAATTTTTTAAACAATATTTGCTTCCCCCCACACCCTCTGATTGAGTCCCCACAGAATTTCATTCCCCAAGGCACCCATGCACCATCACCACAGTCCTCTGTGCTCCTCCCTCTTTCCTTCCCTTCTTCTAATTCCTCTCCCTCCTCCTCCCCTACAGTAATATAGGGAACCAAATAAGACATCAGTGTAAAAAAAAATAATAACAGTACAAAACACAACAAAGCAAAAACAGACAATTAGGTAACATAGTTCTAAGTGGGGAAACTGGGATTTGAACCTGGATAATCCGATGAGCAGCACCTGCCACTAAACACTTTTGCTGTGATGGTTAACAATGCTTCAGACATAATATTAAGTGAAAACCACGTATACATAGTGTGATCACAACTCTGCTAAAAACCATTCATTCAAAGGGAGGGTAATTGGCAAATTTTCTTAGAGTCATGGAGTAATAAATTTTTATTTAGCCCTTCTGATATTTTCTAAACACTCTACAATGAGCAATATTATTTTCAGAATCATTAAAAAAAAGAAAGAATAAATAAGAAAAGAGAAAAAAATTAAAAGAGAAATAAATTTTACTAGTAGTTTCTACTGCTCTGGTAGCATGCATCATGCAGGTATTTCCTACCTAGAGCTGAAATCGCTTTTGGGTAGAAGTGAAAGGCAGTATTTTTGTGTTGTAAAGAAAACAATGCTTGTAGAGGGTTCTAGACTCTGAACTGAGCATTTACTATCTGCTGGGACCTGTGCTAGGTCCTTCACGTGGGTATCTCACTTGAGCCTCACAACCACACTCTGAAGACAAAACAATGATCATCTCCATTTACAGCCAAGGAAACGAGGACTTAGAAGAGGTTAAGTAACTTGTACACAATCACATATTATTAATCATTATGTTAGTTTTCCCCATTTGGTCTTTCCTAATTTCAACTAAATAATGTGAGACAAAATGTATTACTATAAACTTTTGGTTCAAAAGCTATCATTTATGCAATGTCGAAATGGCATATAAAGGACACAGTTAATCAATGGACAGGTTGGGGATCAAAATTGAGAATTTTATATTCTAGTCTTCAAATCATGATATCTTCATGTAAGAATGGTCTCACAGCTATTTAATACAAGTAGGGTCTCTGAGCATCCAGAAAAGGACAGCCCTACTTTATATACGAATATCACTGCTTTTGAAAAAAAGAGATCAAGTATGAATTAAAGAACTGCCTCCAGGGGTTCCCAGGGCTACAGGCAGGATAGAGGTCCATGCAGAGCAAACAACTTCTCAAAGCAGGGGGTTCTCAAGAGACTCAGGCTACAAATCTATGAAAACAACACCTGTATCAAAACTGTTTGGCCAAGCATCCCATGACTGCCTTAGGGTCTGTTTACTCATTAAATGTTTGTCACCACCTGGAGAGTTAATCCAGATTGCTCCAGTCTTTCTAGTCTCTGGACAAGGAAAGGCATAAAAGAGTGAACAGATTCCTGCTGTGGGAACAATCAAAATTTCTCTAGGGATTTACATTAGGATGTAGAAGCCAGCTTCAGTATCTATTTTTTCCTATTGATATTTTCACTGTATCACTGAATAAAAGACAGTTCTCTCTATATTTAATTAACAAACACACCCTATCCCTATAACCTTACACATATAAGAAGACTCAGAATGGAACAGGCCTAAGTCAGTTCTGATTCTACCACATTTATTTAAATGATAACCACTGCTTAAATTTAGGACAAGCTTTTATACTACCCTATTTTTCTTAGACACCTTTAAGGAACAAGATTTTTAATTTTAAAAAATTTTCAACTGAACTATGCTATAAAGTGCAACTATAAAATGATCTGGAACTTGATTTGAAATCCAGTAATACCACAAAATGCACCAATTTTCCATGAGTCTTTTTCGGAGTAAGAGTTGCTTGAAAATCTAATCTGCCATAAGTAAGATTAATTTCTTTTTTTTCAGTAGCCATTCAAAGCAATCTATTGCCATCTCATAAGTACCCCGTCAAGACTACAAGCAAGTATTCCAGCACAGGAGGAGGGCAGGTAGTGTTATAGGACAGGGAGAGGGGCAGCCCAAACCCCGCAAACCTGCCTATTCTAAATGGGTTCTGCCATCCGCCGCATCAACACAAAACATATGAGACTTTAATGGGAAGGAACTTTAATAAAACTAGGAAACAATACAGGTAAGGCAAAGAGTCTAGTTTCTAAATGAAGCACCCAAAGTTACCCGTCCCCTCGTGGGTAAAAGTCCATCCAAATGGGATTGGCCCAGAACAAGGCCCCAAAGCCTGCTACAAGTCTAAAGCATCTTCCAGTGGGGACCCACAGAAAAGGGTCACAAACAACCAGACAAGCCCGGAAGGAAAAGAGCAAAATCAACATCAAGATAAAAGCTGCCATTGTCACCTCCCCACGGGTCTCACCCACATCTGTGTCACCCCGTCCACGACCAAAAGACAAGCACAGTTTCTTCACGTGTCTCTAGGCTCCACGCTCCTCCTCCAGGTCTCCTGGCTCCATCCTGCTTCCTTCCTTCCTCAGTCTCTTCTTCAGCTTCTCCCTCTTCCTGCTCAGCTCCACCCTCCCTTGGGTGGGGCAGGGAACCTCCCCCTTTCCTGGGGACCACCCTGTTACAGTAGTACAGACCTCTGGAAGAGACACTCACCAGCTATGGCACCAGCCAGGAGCAGGCTTCCAGGGCTGACTTGCCCTTCTTCATTCGCGAAGGAAGCCTTCACATGAGCATAGCATGGGAAGTAGATGGCCGAGAAAGGAATGTCCCGCAGAAAGCATGCTTTGGCACCCTTCAAGTTTGAAAAGGAAGAAAAACCACATGAAACACATATCCCATTGAGGAGATCAGCTTCTTTGGAACTTACCTCAGAACAAAATATTCCTGGAGAAGACCAAATTTGAATTCCCAAGTTGAAAGGGAACAGAAAAAAAACAACAACACCCAAGTTATGCAAGTAATAAATCTAACTTTTGTTTTTAAAAATCAATTATTTTACCAAGTTTGCATGAGCTAGACGGATAGTTTAATTTTTCTAATGGTAAGGTTTGGATGAAAATATTTTTGGAGCTGCCTGTGACATCCTTTTATGTTCTTACTGATGGCATTTCAAGGAGGATCTGTTCTGGGATGATGGGCAGTAAACAAATATGTTAGCTGTCGAGAGACGTGGTTTTGTTTTTCATACTATATGAGAATCTAGTGACAGTACTGGACAGTACTGGACACTCAAAAATCACACATATATAAAAAACTATATACCTTTTCATGAGGTTCAGGGATCTAATTTATTCACAGGCACACCCCTAACCCCCCCGGGCTGATAAAACATTGACACAAGTTTATTCTAAAGTCTTAAATATTTGCAATAATTCTTCCACATTTAAGAGCTGTGAGTACAACAATCAACAACTAGAGCAAATTTTTCACCAAATTATTTCTGGTGCCAAAGTAATGCCACATAGAAGCCTTGAGAATTGATGCATGTCCAAAAACAAACATTGTTAAAAAAAAATAGACATACATTGTGCTTAAAGTATATTAAATGGGAAGGAAGTAACCCCTTTTCAACACTTAATGATTTAATACTATTTCTTTCACAGTTATCTAATACCTAAAAATTTCCACCAAATTTAGAGATTCTTCAGAGAAAGTAATGACTCCATCTAGACACAACAGCTCCAGCCAAGCCCTGTGACATTTACTGAGGTTTAGGGATGTTAGATCTTACAATCTGTCAAAGTTCCTTTTCCACTCACTACATATCTGTTACTTTAGTCTTTGCTTTTCTGACACCAGTATTATACTCTTGATTCAAACTGAGCTTGTGGGTAATAAATCCCTTAGTCTTTTTCATATGAACCACTACTAACCTGGGTCTACTGTAACTTATTAGTTGCTTTAAACAAGTAACATAAGCAGGACTTTATGTTTAATCCTATTAAACTTCATCCTATTTTGGACCATCCTTCCAACCAGAACAAATGCTTGGAATCTGGATTCTGTCATGTTGGCTATTCCTCAGTCAACTCACCCACGGATGTGTTAAGATGCCTCTGTTCACTCTGAATGCAGATATTAAAAAAGACAGACCCACATCATTTACTATGGCCAATGAGCCCACACTTCTGTATCTTGTCTACTCCCAGACTGTTAGATGCCTAAATGAAATAAGAACCACAGTCCACCACACCCAAATCCTCATTTTACACATATGCAAATGGTTGCCTAGGACAGTTAATCAATTGCACGGGTAAGCACCATGATGTTGGCTTTCAGGGGGCAAACTTGGAGGTAGTGGCAAAGATGGGTCCAAAACTCAGAACTCCTGAGTTTTCCCACCTCCCCCAGTTTTTTCAAGGGAGAGAGTACAGGATATCACCAATATGCAAATATAGTATACACTCCTATCTTATGATTATATTAAGTTATACAAACGAGGTAGTTACTGTGTAAGGGCAACATTAGCACCCATTTGTCTATTTTCTCTTCCTCGCCTATATCCTGCCTCCAAACCTTCCTGTACAGACAATTCTGTTAGCTATTTGCAGGCCTGATTCAGGAGATATTCATATTAGACACCAAATAACCAACTCAGATCAAGTTCAGTTAATCCGTCCACTCCCTCAATATAATAAAAATCATTGCCATATTACTGACTTTCTAAGCAAATCACTTTGGAGTAATTTTTCTGGCATAACTCCTCCTCCCACAAATTCTGCTTTTTAACTAAATCCATTAGTTTCCACTTTTAACCACATCTCCAAAATCTTTGCATCTTAGAGTTGAACTAACTTCTAAATGTTTAAAAAAAAAAAATCAGGACTATTTGCCCCGATTATAAAATACTGAATGGTTATTATAAACAATATAGATGAGTATAATATTTTAAATGGCTCTTAATTTGCTCCAGCCTGAGATAATCGCTGCAGCTATTATACATGTTCTGGAGCACTTTTTTCAATAGTAATACCAACAACTATTTCCATAGTTGGAATCATGCTCATGGTGGTTCTGAGTTCTATCTTTTCTTTTCCTTAAATTCACTGTGTATTTTTTGAGGTGGGGGGAGGAGTATCGGTCAATATCTCCTTCATTCCTCAGCCATGATGTTAAATTTCCTTTTCCTTTCTATTTTTGTTCCAGAAACTAATGCCATCTTTTTCTTGGCTGTCCTATGGCACAGGTCTTCTCGAAGCTTTGTAATGATTTCACTTCCTATTTTCCTCTCCTTAGTCAACATGATTCCACTCAGGTAAAGCTACTCAATGCTCCATTCATCTGGCACATCAAGGTATACCCATCACTCTGCATCTTCTTTGATGATGCCTAAGCTGGGAACATCAGCCTTTTAAGCACCACCCCTTCATTCATTTAAAGCCCAAATACTACCCCTTCCACTGAGGATCTTTTAACTAGGAGATAGGGAGTGGCTTCCTCATGGCTCCACATTGTCTACACTGTCTCACTGCTATTCTGAATTCTCTTCATGTTCTTCTATCTACGTCAACGTAGATTCTTTCACAGTGTAAGCAAACAAGAGTCAGGAACTACAGTCTGATTAAATTTAGAAAACACTTAACAAAATCTTCAGCTGTCCGTTAAAGCCTAAGGCATGTTCCTGGTGATAGAGACTTGGTTTTGCAAATTCCCGTAAAAATAAATCACAACTAAAAAGAGAAATGATAGGCTGTGGGATATGTTGTCAATTTTCTATAAGGAAAACTCACTGATTTCTTGAAAAAGTATATTAGAAACCCAAACCAAACTTTTAGTTTTTCAAGCAAGGATATGTTATTTGTTGTCAGTATAACAGAGGTTAAAGACAAAGTAGTTGGTAAATCTGCAGTGGAATATTAAAGATAGAAAAAAAGAAGAGACAGAGATTAGCTCCTCTTATGCTATGTGGCTTCCACATGCCCAGAAGGCCATGGGAAGACACGATCTGAAATTACAGACATCCTTGCAAGAAGGAACTCTCCTTCCTTTTCTGAAATAATAACAAATCATGTATCATCGTGAGGACTGCTTAGCAAGGGGTGTCATGTGCTTTAAGAGGTCTGAAAACAGCTCCAGATGACTAAGAAAGATGAAGTGATCAAAACAAACAAACAAACAAGGGCAAATCTAAAGGAACGTGGAGTGCACTGAGAGCGATAAAAGAAAAATGGTTAGGAGTATGTTTTATTTTTCTTACCCGGGATCGGACCACTGTGGTGGAAGAAATGCAAACTAGGGTAAATATCAGACAGGTCTAGGGTTTCTGATTATTTGAGAAAAGGGAAGAAAAGGAAGTCAAGAAAGAAAAAGTTGCGGAAGAGCCACCACTCCCATTCCACAGAGGCAGGCCAGCTTTGCCAGAAAGTTAAAACATTTAAAAACTTACATGTCACAGAAGGAGATGTGAAGAACAGCTGGGACAGCGACTGTATAGCCACGTGATGAGCTGGGGAGAACTTGGTTCTGATCCCTCCTCCCACATTAAAAATACCTTTTTTGACCACCCGCATCAGGGGTTTAGATAGTCAGGAGTTTGGGCATGAATGAGGTAAAATCTGTGTAAGCCCTGTGTGAAGTTGCAACTGCAGTACAAACAGAAGGGGCAGTGCAGAGGAGGTCCTTGCCTCCCAGCCTCCCTGGCACCTGCCTGGTCCCACAGCCCGGCACCTGCCCAGGCTCTCCCCACAGCAAATCACTCTCACACCTTGGCATCAAAGCCCAATTCCCAAAGAGAGCTAACTTTGCAAAGGGTTAGAAAAAAAGGCAGAGACTTATTAAATTCCCCTAGCCTCCTTTCCCCACCACTCCCTCAGGTCTAAGGCACAAAGGCAGGTGCCAATTTGTAAGGCTGCCTCAGGCAATACCTGACCTGTGGCTCCAGTGCAATGAAAAGAGAGGCAGGATGTGAAAAAGGCTTTTAAAGTTCCAAAGGTGAAAATGCTTCTCTCCCAGATTCCTTGATAAATCCTTCACTTTGTGGTGAACACCCATTCTCCAGTCCTACATCAAAACATAAACCTGTTTGACTTGAATGCTACTTGCCCCCCCCCCTTACAATTTTGACTAAGTGAATAGCCATTCCTCACAGCAACTTTATAATAAAGGGAAACATTCTGTGCTGCCCAAAAGCTTACATCAGCAACACAAAAATAATTACTTTGGTTATTAAAAAATTAATAAATTATTAAGTGTGTGCCACCTTAAATAAATCTGTAAATGTTCTTAACCCATAAGAAAATCCACACATTTTCCAGCCTTCAGTCTTTTCTCTAAGCAGTGCTGCCTCCAGAAATCTCTAGCTGGCCCTAAATTTTCTTTGTAAACAGAGTAAGATCACCTGGGAAAATTAATAAATAGAAAATGCAATCACCAAATCTCTTGCTATTCATGCAAGCATTCCCTCTCTAAAGTGGGGAAAGTGGGGTTTCTTTGTTTAATAAAAGGCCTACTAATAACAGATAACTACAATAAAAGGCACATCAGGGAAGATCTGTATGTAAAAAAACTTGGAATCCAAACTGAGATGTAGTTTAATTATGGACTCTGGCTTGATTCCAATTCTGTATCATTTGGAAGTCTCTCCATCATCCTACTATATAAGGTCTGGGATAGGTTCTCTGAGGGTAGACCTCACTTAATTTCAAATCAGTAGTCCACAGCAGACACAGGCCAATTAGACAGGCTTAGAAGAGCTGGCCACAGTGTCACCACGGCAAAGGAATTATTTAGTTTGCCTTTTTGATGTGGACATTGTGTTGAAAGCCCAAGGAAACTTTAATCAAGTTTCAAGTT